AATCTCTGAAGGTTCTCACAAACTCTTCACAATGTACCAAAAGGCTAGCTTGACCACCAAAGTTTTCATATAACTGACCTTGCCACTATCTCTCCACTTCCTCCTCAAAAGGCAAACGTGGGTAACTTTCCTCTCTGGTGAAAATGTCATACCATCAATGATTTTCTCCATTGTCAAAAGTCGATTTTCAGCTTTCACTAGCCCTCCTGCTCCAAAAAACAAAGGTGAATTCATATCCTGAAAGAGCTTCAAGTACTCATCCATCGATGCTCCTCCAGTGTTACTAGTTTGAGGCTGCGACTTCTTAATCATCTCAACAAGAGCATCAACATTGACTGCAACATTCTGGGGTATATCAAATTCAACATCATCATCCCTCAACCTCTACCTCTAGATCATCCATAATTCTAAAACAATAATAAAATGATTTAAGTAGACTTATTTAAAATTTTATTTTCATTTATTTATAACTCAATTCAATCATCTTATTAGGCTCTTTAATTAAAATTCATGTTATTTTAATCTAAACATTTGGCTTTGATACCGTTTTTGTCACGAACCGGTCCGAGGCTTGGAATTAACCAAGAAAAAACAGACAATTGGATGGTGAAAATTATTTTTTGTTATTCTATTTATATTACTATTTCTAGCACTTAAATATTCAAAAAAAAATCATGAAAGAACCACTAAAAAAAACAATTAAAATTAACAAATAGAAATTTATACTTTTTTCTATTGTTGTTCTCGCCTCCTATACACATTTGATCTTTTTCTAATCATTTTCTTCAAAGTTCAAAACCTAAAACAATATTGAAGCAACATAATGAATTAACTAAAGATAACCTAGGAATAATCACAATTTTAAACTATAGTAACCCAAGAAAAAGAAATCAATATGCATGTTGGTCTTTCATATTTTTATAAAAAATCTTATACATGATAATGTATAGAACAATGAACTTTTTCTAAATTAAAATATTCAAGTCTTTTATATGCATTTACTTTATATTTACCTTTATTTTATACTCTTTACATACATATTTATCGCTGTGAGGATCATCAATAAAATATAACACATCTTTGACCAATATTGCCGTTAGCTTTCGTCAGCAAAGCGGTTAGCAATGTAAACATCACAATTGTCTAGGGTAGAAAGAACCTTACTTGTCTTTTGACCGATATTATGTCGTCAGCATAGCGGTTAGTAATGTAAACATCACAATTGTTTGGAAAGGTGAACTCTAGTCTACTCGCCCCAAGCTGATATTATCTCATCGGCACGGCGATTAATGATCTAATCATCAAAATTGTCTGGGATGGTAAAAAAATGTTATACATCCAAGCACATTGGCGTCCTCTACCTGTATCATTAATAGGTGAACTCCTTCTCTTAACATGCACATACAAGCATTCATGTATAAGTTATTACATTCTTCCATATCATGCAATCTTTTCTTATAAAATACTTTACATGTATCTACTAATGAATAAGTGCACGTTTACTAGCATCAAAATGAAATAAACTAATCTAATAACTTCATAGATAAATCATTATACAACTGGTTGTACCTGAATATTTTTCATGGTCATATAATGATATGTTATAAGATTTCTAATTGAAGTTAAAGATCATGCAATAACCTAATACATAAATGCACTTCTACTATAATTTAATGTCATTCAATGATCAATAACCTTATAGAAAACTCATTGTGTATCTATTAATATGCATAATTTCCTATCTACCAATATAAAAAAGCTCTTATAATCTAAACTTCATTGAAATAAAACATAGATGAAATATCAATAAAATCAAACATAAATTTTGAAATAAAGCTAGTTTCTTAAATTTAGAATGCAATTATTCACCTTAATCTTGAGGAGACCTCTTAATTTGCTTAGTCCTCCAATTTACTATATCGTCAATATATAACATGTCTCAATTCTGTGTAATCTCCTTCCATGCATCCTAATTGAATAACATTTTTAATAACATTAATTTAATTAATTATATCATTAATTCTATAAGATTTAACATTTAACCTACAAGCATTCAGATCAATCTCTCCCTTACATGCAAATCTACTTGCTAGCCACCTTGGCCTAAATTAAGCTAATTTCATATTAATATATTAAATATATATCAATTTAATGTATATAAAATTCTAATAAACTATTTCAATACAAAAATTTACCTTAACTCGCAAATTATGATTTTTATAGGCTTCAACACCACTTCACGCCTGCAATTTTTTCTCTTTCCTCGTACAGAAAGTTCACATCACCTTACACCTATAAATTCAAGAATTTAATATCTTCGATTCTTGACATTAAATGCACTTAAATCTTACATATAT